TGTTCTTTTGAAATTTCTGTTCATCGAAGAGTCATGAAAATGTTACTGTTTTCAACATTAATAAGAACTTGTATAAATAATTGAGCATCACTCAGCATATTAGAATGATTTCTGAAGGATCATGTGACTCTGAAGACTAGAGTAATGATGCTGAAAATACAGCTTTGCATCACAGCAATAAATTACATTTTAGATTTGTTCAAATGTAAAACAATTGCTTTAAATTGTGATAATATTTTACAATATTACTGTTTTTCGGTGACTCTCAGCAGTCACATGTAGGGAAATCGAGGACTGTGGCAAATTTCGGCAGCGACTTTCTTGTTGATCCTGGAGTTAATTGGGATGTGGTAAGATCTCCCTTGTGCTGACTGCGGGAATGGAGGGTTATGGAAGAATTAAGGAGAAGTGAGGCTGCCGTGTGTGTTAACCACCTAAAACAATCCTTAATGAATACCTGCACTTAATATTGGGTGGCAAATCTAGCTCCTTAACTGTATCTGGGCAGAAATTCGTCTTCATGGATATTTAAGACCCATCTAACCTGATAGAGAGACCATGTGTGTGCCTAAAACATTTGATATGTTACTGTCCACTCTAAGCAAAGTCATAAAGCATGTCTCTTTTAATTTGAAGACGAGTTCATCAGTGATAATGATAATGTTTGGAGCTCCTTCCGCTCATGCTGCTTAAAACCCAGATGTACAATGAAATTGCGATTTCTGACGAAATGTCTTTTTTCATTCAATACAGAATTAGACCGACAGGAGCCGTCTCGGCTTGTTTGCGACTGCGATGGCTTCCATAGTCACTTTTAATTCAGCGTGATTGGAGGCAGGGTCTCGCTTATCTTTGTGAATATGAAATGTTAACGACTGGGCAACTGCTGTCATGGTGGAGAAACAGTTTGGAGAGAATCTCGCAAAACAAGGTTAAACTGTCAGCGTGTTTATAGCTACTTACCTAAATAGCAGCACATCTGATTTAATAGCATGGACATTTGAAGGTAACTTTATCGCTACAGTAATGCAAAAAAAGTGAAAGCGCTTGTGACTATGCTTGCAAATTTACAGTACTGTTCATTTGATCAAAAATACAGTAAAACTATAATATTACTATTGAACAGTTTTCTTTTTTAATATATTTTAAAATATAATTTATTGCTGTGATCAAAGCTGTATTTTCAGCATCATTACTCCAGTCTTCAGTGTCACATGATCTTCAGAAATCATTCTAATATGCTGATTTGCTGCTCAAGAAACATAGGTGATCAATGTAGAAACCGTTTTTGCTGTGTAATATTTTGTGGAAACGGTAATACACTACCATTCAAGATTGAGGTAAAAAAAAAATTATTCAGCAAGGATGGAGTAAATTGATCAAAAGTAACATTTGTTTCAAATAAAGGCTGTTCTTTTGAAATTTCTGTTCATCGAAGAGTCATGAAAATGTTACTGTTTTCAACATTAATAAGAACTTGTATAAATAATTGAGCATCGCTCAGCATATTAGAATGATTTCTGAAGGATCATGTGACTCTGAAGACTAGAGTAATGATGCTGAAAATACAGCTTTGCATCACAGCAATAAATTACATTTTAGATTTGTTCAAATATAAAACAATTGCTTTAAATTGTGATAATATTTTACAATATTACTGTTTTTCTTTTTCTTTTATTCTTTTGACCTATAGTGTATGTGTCTGCCTTGGAGTTTTTTAACAAAAAAAGGAATGACATTCAACAATCAACATTGAATGAGAGACTCATTGGAGAGAATTGAAATTGCACTTATTCAAGTGAAATGTTGCTGGCATTAGCCTTGTTCGGTCAACCAGCCTATTTTTATTTTTTTCCAGACCACTTGCGCATGGATCATTGCCTCCTAAAAGATGCAATTTCTCAACACCTCACGGTTGAACGAGTATGACTAAGTACTGGTAATGCATTTAGTGTTTTTGCTGTGCAACTCATTCCAATGGTGCTCACCTTTCGATAATTTCCATGGCTACCACTCTGGAATATATTTCGTCTCAAAGGTCTTTCCCAGGTGGTCCTATTTTCTGAAAGGATGCAGACTGGTTAGGAACCCTCATTTCTTTCTCCAGACTCCAGATGGCCTTTTTTCAGTGAATTCTCCCAGCCTTTCCATGAATATATAGGCAGATGATTCTTTTCAGCACCTGAATTACATCAGGTCAAAGGCTCCATGAATAGACCCTCTGCTGCATTACCAAACCAAGCCAAACATTTGTGGCTGAAGAGAAATCCACTTATAAAAGTAGGATTTAAATGCCTCAAAGGCAGTTGAGGAGGCTGAATTACATGAAATATGAGGTTTGTTTGTTTTCTGTTAGTAATAGGGGCCAGGACGTTTTATGAAACTCAAAATTTACATTGCAAAGACTTTTTGGTAGAGCTTGCCAAAGCACTTAGGGTATTTAAACAAACCTAACCTATTTAATTGAACTTTGGAGCTTGTTTCTGCTGTAGTCGTGAATTAAAGCACAGATTGCGTATTACTGTAAGATATTTGAAAAATTCTCTATTTGTTTCAAGGGAAGCATGTTTTGTTTGTTACCATTGAAATTTCAATTAGGATACTTTCCAAGTTGGCATGAAATGACAATTTATCCTATCCATTTTCTAAATGCATGTTATTGATCTTTTTGAATGGATTTATCCATGAATTTGTTTTGCTTTTACAGTTTTTGCTCAAAAAGATATAACTCGATCTTCCAATGAAGCTGGCAGTCTTTTTGTTGACGTATACCAGGCTTTTCCAGTCATTTAGTCCATTTAAACCCCATCCCTGTATTACAATTGTCTGCGGGCTCGCATTCAGATCTGCCTCCATCCATTCAACAACCGATGCACAGAACTAAGTCCTCTTGAGAAGTCTCAATTAAGAAAAGATCTGTGGCTGCTTCCGCTACATTAACTTCATAGCATGCGAAAAACATTCAAAACCATTGTTATCTGTGAATGTGCGCCTCACACCTCCATAGTTCTCTGTCCATCGATGACGTCCAGCTACAGCTCTGTTGGCTGCTCGTTTTTTCTGGGACACTACACAAAGCAAACCTTTAAATTATCGAGAGACTCTGTCCTACCTCTGACTTGACTCGGATTGATGTTTCTCGTCCTGTGATTCATGACCAGCATTTGGCTCTTTTGACTTGGGACAGTAAGCAACCCTTACCTATGCAGTGTTATAAAGCTGTTCCGAAGCTTCTCGGACACTGTCATATCAGCCTTTCAAAGACGGTCCACGGTCTGTAGCTCGAAGATTATTTAATATGTCACTAGCACACATGATGAAGGCCACCTGTACTGTAAAGGGACAGAGAGAGAGAGTGAAGGAGCGAGACGTGGCATGAATAATAGAGTTTCTTAGAGGTGGGCTTCTCTAGGGAGGGGAAGATGGTTGCATGCTGTGCACAGACATGTATCTTGCCGCCAAAAAGAGCAGTAGTAATGTGTCTGGACGGGTTGCTCTGCGGAAAGCAGTCCGGCTCAGCCAGCACACTCCCGATTTGACTTGATTGCAGCAACTGTTGCCTTACTCCCCTGTTGGGTTATATTAGTCTTCCAGCTTGCGACAGCTCACTGAAGTGTCTTTAAGGATTTAATTCCCACTGATTTTTTTGCCTTTTTTTTTTTTTTCACTCCTCTCCAGTTACCACAGAACTTTTTCCTTTTAATTTGATTTTTGGTTTGCCCAGAGCAGTGCAGAACTGTCTTAATCACCAATGAAATGTGCTAAAAAAAAAAAAAAGCCACCCTGTTGGTGTAGAGAGAGGTTCGAGATTTGAATAAACTCATTAGGCTAAATATTCAACATTACTTGTCCTCCACCACTGTGCGATTGGCATGAATGATGTCTCAAATTGTGCAACTTTGTTAAAGTGATATTAATCTTAAGACATTTTGAAATGTGGCAAAAATGAACTTGAGCCATGTGTAGAAAGCAGAAAATCTAAAGGCCAAATTATACTTGTACAGTGTGCATGATGCAAATTTTGTACCAGAATAATATGTGTGTACTGTACATGCACCACACAATTTTTGTAACTGCACATACTTGGTATGTGCATTTAATTTTTGCACTAATCAGTTGTTCCACAAGGTGGCAACCAGAGCTGGGTACATTACTTACTAATTGTAATCCATTACTGATTAACTTACTATTGAGAGTACCATATTGGTATTAAAAAGCGAAGGGAAAGAAAATATAGGCTATTCCTTTTGAATAATCATTAAATGAATTAAACATTACATTAAACCAGAGGTTCTTAAACTGGGCTTAATATAAGAACAATGCAATGGGTTTGTGAACTGATAAAAAGTTAATAATCAATTAAACACTAAAGTAGAAATATTTAATTAGTTTACCTGCATGTCAATGTGACCATTCAGTGATGTATCAATATGTAAACATGCAAATGTATTGTTAAATTATTAAAATATTAAGTTCCTCAGATTGTGAATCAGATTATGAATGATTTACTGCCATTGTGTGAATATGTATTCCATAAAAAGTAGCTGTAATCTGATCATGAGCATTATAAAATGTAACATACTCTAATTGCGAGTACTCGATTTTTGGAATCTGATTATGTAATCCGGATTACATTTACAGTTACTGGCCCGGGCTGTGTTTTCATCATAGAAAACAAAACTAAAGAGAACAACAACAGAATACTGAAAACTGCAACGGACACCCGGACTGACAAGGTTATGATAGCCGCAACTTTAATTTAAAATATTACAAAGATATTTTTATCAGTCATAACTTCTGGAAAAACAGTGCAGAGACTTGACAAATATGAATCTTGACTTTGCGCGTACTCTAGCATACACATACAAAAACAAAGTATACTTTGTGTTTTAGAGAATTGATTATGGGCTCTTTTGTTCGTTTTTAAGGTGCTTTTTTGTGTGTGATAAAAGCTGTCCGGTCAGTTTGATCTTTTGATCGTATTGTTTCTGCTCTCGTAGGTTGTGGTTTCGACAAACATCGCTGAGACGTCCCTGACCATCGATGGCGTGGTGTTTGTAATTGATCCTGGCTTTGCCAAGCAAAAGGTTAGTCTTCTCTCCTCTGCCTCACTTGTCTAATCTCGCCCCATCATCTGTTTCTCTTGCCTCTGAAATCCCCAGATAAACCCAGTGGCGGGGCTCTGACAGCGACTCGAGATGGAAAAGCTAGTTATTTATTCTGCTGACATTTCCCTAGCCCAGCTGCTGCTGTCATACATGTAGTCCAGTCAGAGATGAAGGATGGCTTCGCTTTGGCATATTGCTGTGGTGCTATGGTGTGCATTTATTATTCACACAGCTCTTTCCTTTTCGTCGCACAGGTGTATAACCCTCGCATTCGAGTCGAGTCGCTGCTCGTGACGGCTATTAGTAAGGCTTCGGCCCAGCAGAGAGCTGGCCGTGCTGGACGTACGCGCCCAGGAAAGTGCTTCCGGCTCTACACCGAGAAGGCCTACAAGACTGAGATGCAGGTTTGTGAAACCAATCATAACTGCTGCAGGCATCTGGGAAGCGCACTTGTTCTGATTTTATTATACGCCAGTGAAATTGGTTGGATCGTGTTTTGGTCCATCAGCAGATGACCTTGGTTCCATAAGTCTTTAGTACTTATGGTCACTTCTTGCCCCCTTTTTGTACATAGAACAAGGCAAATTTCCATGTCAATTTTTCTTTTTCTTTCTGTGTATCCTCCCTTTTCCTGTCAGGACAACACATACCCTGAGATTCTCAGGTCGAATTTGGGCTCTGTGGTGCTACAGCTCAAGAAGCTCGGTATCGATGACCTAGTGCACTTTGACTTCATGGACCCACCAGGTATGAGTTTTACAAATACTTTCATGAATATCTATATCTGCAGTAGACTTCAGTAGAAGATTTAGCTAAATTAAGACAATACAACGTTAACACAACATTAAAAATTACCATAGTTTAAAACCTGTAATATTTATTAAGTACATTAAAAACACAAACCAACTCTTTCTCGTCTGTGAAAGTTTATCCTATTTCTTTGTGAATTAAAATTTTGGTGTTTTTTTTTTTTTTTGTTTCAGCAATTTACTTAAACCACTCAGAAATCTATAGCAACCGTATTGCAACATGCTAAAAGTGTTGAGAACACCGTAGCAACATTCTAAAAAGCACTTTTAAAAAGCTGCATCCCAATTGGCATCCTATCCATTCTAATTAGTATTTGAAAATAGATCAGTGTGTACCAAATCAAAGTAAGGTGAAATGAATATGTAAACCTGGATGGTTTAGTTTTTCCTGTGAAAATTCAGATCCTTACACACTCGGCTAATATGGGCCACCCATTGTGCATTGGACGTGGATTCGATTAGAACTACAAATGCAAATAAAACGTGTCAAAAAACTACAAACATGGTGGATATGAGAGACTGGCGGTTCAGTAAAGAAGTTTATATAGATATGTTTGGTCTTTAAATTTTAAATGCATCATTATGTAAACGCATAAGGAGTGTTCTCGGCATGAAAGACACGTGACTGGCAGATCAGCATGCCTCTACATTTCTCTCCAATACAGTAAGAATGTAAATGAAACTTAAGTGTTGAAGATGTTAACTGTGACGAGATGATTGACAGGGCAGTTTAATTGGCGACGGAATGCATGTAACTAAGCAACAGAGCATTCCATTAAAGCAGCTGTGACGAAGTCATATGGCCCAAATCTTGCCTACTCTTCTGCTACACACTTAAAAGTATATACTTTTTATTCACAAAAAGAGTATGTACTTTCAGGGCATATTGGGATGAATTTATTCTCATACACACACACACACACATACATATATTTCTGTAAAAATGGCAAGATGTTCTGAGTGTTTTAAGTACTTTTTTATGAAAATGCTTGGTTATTCACACTTTCTTCCGAAATGTCAAAATCTATTTAGCTCTTTTAGTGTTATGCGTAGTTTGCCTTGCTCATTTCGGAGTATCTGGTGCAGCTTGGGTAAAAAAGCAACCGGACACTGCCTTTCCTAAACTGACTGATATTTCAGAGTCTGGCTTTGCTTTGATCATGTAATTGCTTTTATGTAGTATGAAGACTGAGGTGGGCATTCATTAAAAGTGCATGATGGCCAGACTTGTAATCGCTGAATAGTAACGACTGGAACTTTTTCGTGTGATTGGCTCATCGTCTTTTCTGAAAGGTTCATGACCTTAAAAGATCTCTAAAATTGCCTTAAAAATGTTGAAGCTTGTGTAGAAGCTTTCTGCTTCCTAAAGCCGTGGTCACACTAGACTTTGAGCACGTGAAATTGTTTGCAACGGTCGTGATGTGACGTCATGCTCTGCAGCATCTTTTAAAAAACTTAAATTCAACACGCAACAAATTATAATACATCTAAAATGTAAATATATGCAATCTAATCCACTTTCCTGCAGCGCTGCAGTTTTAAATTTGTTCTTTTAATTCAGTTGCGAGGTCATGCTGTTAAGTATCGATCGGCTGTTGGTCACACGGTTTCACGTGATGCGAATTTGCAGGTCAGAGTTCACCAAGCTTGAACTTTGCAATGCAGCGAAATGCGAAACTTTTAGCACGGGCTTGCGTTTCCGGTCTGATGCATTCGCATGCATTTGAACGGAAGTCAACGGAACGAGAAGTGCAGTGTGACCGCCCCTTAACATACTGTTGCATTTGACTATCTACGTAAATTTATAGCTGGGTGATATAAAAGGGAGATGGTATTCAGTATCGATATTTATGCATTTGTTCTGAAATATCTTAAAAGGGCTATACACTCTCTCACTCACACACACACTCTTAGTCTGTCTCAGTTTGTTCTGATCCTTCTTGTCATTCCAGACAGACTGGATGATGATCAAATCTCTGTGTGGAGCACTGGATTATTACAATTAATGGCAAAATGAATGTTTGGAAATGTAAACTGATATTTCCTACTGACACACTACAGCAAAATATAGAAATAACTTAATTGCACTCAATCAGACACGCAAATGAAAAAAACAGCCGGGTATTGTATTGCTGGATGAAGACTGGTGGCATTTGCCAAATGCTTGCTTATACTTTCTTCACTTTAAAACACATTTAGCTTTCGCTCTCATTGATTTTGCCTTCAGTTAACTCTGGCACGTTCCCTGCTATAGTTAATTCTGATGTGTTGTCCACATGTATAAATAACTTTTTCCAGCTGGGTTCACTGCATGGCACCTATACTTAATTTTTGCCTAAAACGTATTACTTGCTTTAGCACGAGTAATGCAACACCCTTTCACAACAAATAGAAAAAGTATGTCTGATAAACCAGATCAATACTCATTCATAATAACAAACTGACGGCTGCACTTTTTTTTAAAATGAAGTTTTCCTGACTCATTGATAAAGACAGCTGCAGTCTTTCATCCTATTCAGCAAACTCCTCCAAACCTTAGGCAATGCTAATTTTCAGTTAACATGCAACTGGTCATTAGAGCCAAACTCTCTAGAGCCAAAGGTCAGTAATTGAATTTGTTGGTGTGTGACCAGTGTTGATGCATTAAGTAGAGGTTCCTCCCTATAATTGAATTAGTGGCACTGCTGTTTGGAACTGCTTGCATGTCAGATGAAAAATTAGCCCCCTTTGTCTTGAATTAAAAGTTAGTTGTACAGGAGACCACAGCCACAATGTTTTCACCGCAAGAAAATGGCTTTCATTATGTGCATTTTTCTTTTAAATAAGGTATCTAAGACAAGTATCACAATTAAATTTTCCTCGTGCTAGGGGTTAGATTTGAAAAATCAAACAAAAAACCAGTGAATAATTGAGTGAATAATTTAGTACTCATTTATAAAAGTGTAATCAATACCTACAGTTGCAAACATTTTACAAAATTCACATGCTCATCTCTGAACCAGTACAATGTGCAACACTTTACATTTTACTACCAAATTATATATTGCACTGGGAAGTGATTTCATAATATGGGACAATCTTAGCCTGAAATACTGCTCTAAAGTCTGAATTTAGTGTTTAAGGGCCTAAAGTTGGGACAGTCTTGCACACTTAGTACAAAATTAAACGAGACAATTTATGAAACGGTATATGCATAAATAATGCAATTTATAAATATATAAAATAACATTTTTAATATTGAAATATGGAGTTATTTCAGAAGTGAAATAAACCTTAATTCATAAGGAATCATTGGTCACACTTTAGTTGGGGACCAATTCTCACTGTTAACTATGACTTTTGCCTCAGGCTCCTGATTTACTGCTTATTAATATTTAATGAGGTTGTTGTTAAGTTTAGGTGTATGGGGTATATTAAGGGATCTAAAAAGATGGTCATGCAGAATAAGGCAATATGTTCTTTCTAAGTAATAATAAACAGCCAATGTGCTAGTAATATGCATGCTAATAGTGAAAATTGGTCCTTAAAGTGTTACAGACTTCTTTAATTTATAAAGAAACAAAGTTTGTGACTGTGGGACTGTCCCATTACCCACACTTGCACCGCTTATGTGTTTCTCTTAGGTGTTGCCAAGACTGCAGGTGTGGGTAATGGGACAGGCCCACAGTCACAAACTTTAGTTCTTTATGAATCAGCCATTTTGAACAAATTGATTGAATGAATGATTCAGTGACTTACTCATCAAGACTTTCTGTCCCTCACTGGCAGTTAAAGTTTTATTTCAATATCATTTTTTTTTTTAAATGTGTCATTAATAAATTGCATTCATGCAATTGTAATTTTATTAATTTATTTAATTTTGTAATTATTGTAATTATTAAATTTTATTAAATATAAAAATTTGACATAAAATTACATACATTTTTAATAATTTTGAAAATATTTGCATACAGTATTTAAAGAATCCTAATAAACTATGCAGTTATTTGAGTGCAGAAATCTAACCTGTTTTGTACCCATTTTATTTAAGTATTATTGGCAAATATGCATCACAGTAATTTAATTTGATAGTTAAAATGGTGTGTTCAAGTCACATCGGAAAGATTGCATTTGAGTTTAACTAAGAAAACCTTTCAGATGCAATGGATGTAGCATCTCTGTATTGCCAAACTTGTTGAAATAAATGAAATAATTATCAATTTTTATTTATACAGTACTATATCAAATTATCCAAATTGCAATTGTGCAAAATACGACAATATTGTTCAATTAGACTATGAATAAAATCGTTATGAAGGTCCTGTAAATTAAAACTTTTTTTTTAGAGGTGTGTTTAACTGATGCATTCAAAAATTATCACCTGAATGTATTTGATTTTTTGCTTGTAACACTCCAAAGAGAAAGGAAAACTTGAAATCGCATCATATGACCCCTTTAATATAGTAAATTACTTCTGCATAGTTCTGTCATTGTTGCACTGTATGGATACATTTCTGTGAATTTAAAAAAATGAACTGCATCATTTTTTTCAGTGTTGTCTAGCTAATGTCAACGTAAAAAGTGAAGTGTGTAATTTTTTTGAATGTTGTCTAGCTAATGTCGATGGACAACTACAAGCAAGTCATTTGAAGGATGATTCCTTCGAAAGCATAAACCATTTTGAGGTGCTTGTGAAACACTGTTCTTTTGGTTTGAACATCCTGACAACATTGACTCGACTTGAGATTGGTGTGGCAATATGTTTGGTCTTCCAGTAGCAGATAAGTGGAGAAGAGTTTGGGAGACCGGTTTAGAAACGTTTTTTTTCTTGGTGACACGTCGCATCATATGACCCCTTTAATATAGTAAATTACTTCTGCATAGTTCTGTCATTGTTGCACTGTATGGATACATTTCTGTGAATTTAAAAAATGAACTGCATCATTTTTTTCAGTGTTGTCTAGCTAATGTCAACGTAAAAAGTGAAGTGTGTAATTTTTTTTGAATGTTGTCTAGCTAATGTCGATGGACAACTACAAGCAAGCCATTTGAAGGATGATTCCTTCGAAAGCATAAACCATTTTGAGGTGCTTGTGAAACACTGTTCTTTTAGTTTGAACATCCTGACAACATTGACTCGACTTGAGATTGGTGTGGCAATATGTTTGGTCTTCCAGTAGCAGATAAGTGGAGAAGAGTTTGGGAGACCGGTTTAGAAACGTTTTTTTTCTTGGTGACACAAGCTCTGCAGAAATTACACACTTCACCTTGAAGCAGCAGCTTAAATCTTCAGTGAGTTTTTGCTATTAAGCTGCATATTTAGTGTTTTGTAAATTTTAGATTTTGCAGTGCTGGTCAGAGTTCAGATCTGCTTGGATGTTGCTCTTAAGCTGGTTTTAATGTCTAACCCTTCTGTTTAAGACCACGAGTCGGTGCAGTGGTGCTATGATAACTTCGTTAACTACCGCTCGCTGATGTCGGCTGATAACGTGCGGCAGCAGCTCTCACGCATCATGGACCGCTTCAGCCTGCCGCGACGCAGCACAGAGTTCACCAGCCGAGACTATTACATCAACATCCGCCGTGCTCTCGTCACAGGCTTCTTCATGCAGGTGCGTTTGCCAAAAATATCAATTATTGAACAAAAAACAACCCAGTAAGCTTCTTTAGTCCTGCCGAGGTTTTGATTCAGAGTGTTTTGAACATCTGTAATGTGTGCCATTGTAGATCTCCCTGAATGTTATTGTGCACAGAGATGTGCTTTATAGTAAATTGTAATGTCCATTGTGATATTCCTCTTTTCATCCTGTGGAAATGTCGTCAACCCAGAGGCTTAAAACATAATGTGTTGGCATATCAACAGAAAATGGATGTGGCCTTGTGGGTCACTTGAACTGATCTTGATAAATATGCACTGACTGTGGTTATAATACCGTGTAAAGGTTGCCTGAAGACAGTAATATAAAACTAGTTCTGGATGCTGATTGGTCAGTGTAGTGTTCCAGCTGTATTAAAATGTTCAATATATGAAGCACGCCACTTGAATTTACATAACATTTTCATGAAAATATTTACTTAAACGCACTATAAAAATGTCAAAGGTGTAAATAAAACGCAGTCTATTGGAGTGCATTTTTAAAAGAAAATTCTACTACAAAATTTCAGTTTGTTACTTGTACACGGGATAAAAATAAAGGTAATTGCAACCATTTATCTCACAATTTGGACTTTTGTTTCTTGCAATTCTTAGAAAATTTTGTCGGAATTGAGATACAACTTAAAATAAGGTTAATAAAAAAAGGTAATTGCAACTTTCTCACAATTTTGAAGTTTTTCTTGACGTTCTGAGAAAAAGTCAGACATCTTGTAATTCAGAGTGTTTTCTTACAATTCTGTTTTTTGTTTCTGCCACGAAAAAAAAACGTACTTGTGACTTCTTTCTCTAACAATTCTGACTGTTTTATTTTTTATTTTTGATATTCTGACTTTATATCTTGCTTTTGTGGCTTTTTCTTAGGATTGCAAGAAAAAAGTATTGAGATATATACTCAAAATTGCAAAGAGTGAAAGTTAGTGATTACCTTTATTTTTTGATTCCATAGTTTAAACGCACTAGTTTTTTAGCTATTTCTGAGTGAAAATGGTTTAAAAGAAAATCCTACACAATTTTTTTTTTTTAGTAGTAATGTACTAGAATCAGCAATTCTGTATTGTTAATACAGTCTCAGCTGAAGGGTTGTCAAGACCGTAACACCCTTTGACCATGAATATATTATAATAAAACAGCCTAGAGTGATCATATCACTTTAGTTAATTCTTAATCCACTGCATTTTTCTTAATCCTAAACGAAAATACATCTAGTTTTAAAGCAAAGCTTGATTTCTCCCTTTATTCTCCTCTGTCTGAATTAAAAGTTACTGTGTCTTGTCGGGAAAACAGGATCACTGGAGCTTGCTGATGTAATGCATGGCTTTCTATCAAAGTGTGACCGTTTAAACGCACACAAGTAATCACGGCAATTTTGGTCCGGCGTAGCGAAAATAAATGACGTTTTTATCGAGTCGCTCTCCGGGAGGGGGTTCCTGAAACAAGTGACCTGACTAGTTGAATTACTCCATTAGTATTGAAATATTTGTCAACATTAACCTTTACCGGCGAGACAAATTTGCGCCTTAGTGTACGAATTACCGGGCGCTCTATCTGTTTGAGTCGGTCGTTTATTGAGACTGATTGCCCAGGTTAATCTCGACATCCTTACGGCGTCTGAAGAAACGGCCGCGTATGCGTTTGGTTAGCTTGTGGTTGATTTATTTGTTAATTTGCGTCTCTGGTGTTATCAGGTTGCTCACCTGGAGCGCACCGGCCACTATCTCACAGTGAAGGACAACCAGGTGGTCCAGTTGCACCCTTCCACCGTACTGGACCACAAGCCCGAGTGGGTTCTCTATAACGAGTTTGTGCTGACCACCAAGAACTACATCCGCACCTGCACTGATATCAAACCCGAATGGTAAGCTGAAACATGCAAATGCTTTGAATTTGTTTGTGCGTTGTTGGCAAATGCTTCTGCAACAAAGAAAGACAAAACCAAGCAAACATTGTGCGTATCTTCTCATCCTTCAGGCTGGTGAAAATCGCTCCAGGATACTACGAAATGAGCAACTTCCCTCAATGCGAGGCTAAGAGGCAACTGGAGCGCATCGTCACTAAACTTCAAACTAAGGAGTACTCTCAATACTGAACCTGCGCAGCGGTGGAAGGACTGTACGTTTTGAATTCAATATGCGCTGTGCAATGCTTCTGAAGTTGTACATCGTCATACGTCGACATTAGGTTTCCGTCTGTGTTTCATTTTCTGTTTTGATTTGTCATCAAGATATAATTATTTTTTTATAACTCTTTGCTCCCGGCTCTGCCTCGTGTTTTGGCACCTGGTGAAAGCATACTGTTTAATTGGTCACTCTAGGCACTAAGGATTGGTTGGGAGCAAATGCTTAACAGGGATAAACACCATCAACCGTTTTTGCATGAGCATTCATGTGGATGTTGACATTCCTTATCGACATTGAGAACTTCCTGCTATGTTATTGGGTAGAAAAATCCCTGTTTATTCTGTGAAGGAGCTTTTACTTCGGTAATAAAATACCTTGATATCAGTCATGCTCAAGTTCATTCTTTTTGTTGACTGTTATACAAATAGTTAACTTACAAGGAGGACCTAAATTGCACAAATGCATTCACAGCTTAGGAGTTAGGATTTATCAAAATAAAGTTTATTAATAGTTTGGGTAGACATAATATTGAATGCAAGTTCTGCTCTGCCATTATTTCTGTAAATTGCTTAATAAATTAATGAAGTAGTACAAGAGTGGTCATCTTTGTTAGGGTTGAGATGAGGGCAGTCATGTTAATGTGTTCACTTATGAGGTTAATTACATGTGTTTAACCGCATTAATTTTTTAATCATATTCACCCAATTTAGGATTCCAGCCGTTTCCTTTTTTTTTTGTTTTTTTTGTCTGATTTCTGAAGACAAGTTGAAGAAATACTTAAAGGGGTCATATGCCGATGCTGAAAATAACATTATTTTGTGTATTTGGTGTTATGCAATGTGTTTACACGGGTTAAGGTTAAAAAAACACATTATTTTCCACATACTGTACATTGTTGCTCCTCTCTGCACCACCTTTCTGAAACACGTTGATTTTTACAAAGCTCATCGATCTGAAAAGCGAGGTGTGCTCCGATTGGCCAGCTATCCAGTGTGTTGTGATTGGCCGAATGCCTCAAGCGTGTGACTCAAATGTTACGCCCCTTACTATATTTGGAGAAACACAGCATCTCTACGACATCGACAATACTACAGCAAGAATCAAAGTTACGCCGCCTTTCTTTGCGTGAACATTTGGGCGGTGTTATGCAAATCTTCCCACACAGTGATGTAGACATGTGGGGGCGTGTTTAAACGAGGCGTTTTAGGAGGGCGTGGACAAGTCTTAAATTTTATAAAGATTATCTCTTTGGGTTTGAGACTTAATGGATCTTATATATGCATGAACGGCTTGTAACACTCCAAAGGCACAGGAAAACATAAAATCGCATCATATGACCCCTTTAAAGAATAGTGGTTTTAGCTGTTTGATAAACGCACAACAATCTGGGCACTTGTTTATCTGTTAATGGAGGAGAAAACTGAAACCCAATGAGACTAAAGGCCCGTTCACACAAAGGACGATAACTATAATGATAACGATAAAGATATAGTTGTAAATAGCAGAGAAGGAATAGCAGAGTCCACACCACAACTATAACGATAAAGACACAGAGAAACGACTTCATTGGAATCACTTTCAGAATGATTTTTTTCCAGCTGATGAACATTAAAAATATTGACAGCCAATCATAATCAATCCTGCTGTTACAAGCTCGAGAATTTAAAGAGAAAGATGAGCATGCACTGAGAATAAACAGATGCTAATATCTTTATAGTTAGCTTTATATTTATCGCTCTTGGTGGGAACGGGCCTGAAGTCATTTGACTGCCCTGTATGGTAGAATCATAAAAGCTCAACATGGTTGAAATATAGATTTCAATGGATCGTTGTCAATCGTTTGAGTGCTAAGCCATATGTAATGATGATATTTCTGAGCAATTAGCCATCTGATGCATTGTCATTTCTAAAATGTAAATAAAATTGCAGACCTGGTATGCTGTTTGGAGTACAAAATATTGAATGTCTTTGAAAAATGTTGAGTATTGTCTGCATTGAGTTCGAAGTCATTTGTTAATATTCTAATATTTCTGTTATCTTAATTTGATTGTTTGTTTGTCTCATGTTATGCACTGCTACTGGAAAAAAGAAAAGAAAGGGGGGCACCACTGTAGTTATTGTTAACTAAAATGATTAATTATTAAACTAAAAAGTTTTTTTTTTTGGTTAATTGAGATGAAGCAAAAATAATACCCTCCAGTTCATTCATGAACCCCAGCTTGTAAAATGATCAAAATGATAGCACAAAATTATTAAATCTTAAACTAAAATTTGAATGAAAATTGAAAATAAAAGCTAAATCAAAATAATAAACGCTGTAGTATATGAATTATACTTCAATGTCTACAAAGTGATCGAAATTACATTAAAAATCTAAAATAATTGCAATTGAATAAAGAAGCAATTGACTTTTGAGGTCGCCTAAAATGCATGTTATTTGTACATCTTGGTACGTCAGAGTTTCAATTGATTCTAATATAAATGCACCTTGATAAGGAAAGTCAGTTTTGTGAAAGAACCGGAATGAAAAAATAATTGAAGAGCACAAGGCAGAGGATGGATACAAGTAATTGATTAGCCCTCACCCTTGGAGTACAGTTCAATCAATAATTAAGAAATGGAAAGAGTACGGCTGTCAATGTACCTAGAGAAGGGATGTTCTCAAAACCTGAGTGGCCATGCAAGAAGGACACTGGAGACCAATGAAGGAGTTACAAGCTTCAGTGGCTGAGATTGGCGAGACTGTGGATATGAAAACTGTCATCTGAGTGCTTCAGCGGTCACAGCTTTATGGAAGAGTGACAGAGAGAAGCCACTGTTGAAAATGTCATATGACATCTCGGCCGTAGTTTGCCAGAAGGCATGAGGAAGACTCTGAAGCCAGATGGAAGAAGAGCCTCTGGCCTGATGGGACCAAAATTGAGCTTTTGGCCATCAAACGAAATGCCATGTTTGGTGTTCGCCAATCGCTGTGCATCATCAGAAACGCAGCATCCCGACCGTGAAGCGCGGTGATGAAGTTCTGCGGCAGATCCTGGAAGGATTGTGGGGTGTAGCGGATGAAATCAATGCAGCGAAACATGGGAGGAAAACCTGATGCACTCTGAGACACCTGTGACCCAGGAGATGATTTATTTTCTGGGACGGCGACCCAAACACGAAGCCAAAGCTGCACAAGAAGTGCTTCTAAACAATGTTGAAGTCGAGGAGTGGTCAAGCCGAGATCTCAATCCAATTGAGAACTTATGGGTGGACTCGGATCAGATCAGATCTCCATGAAACCAGACTGAGCTTAAGCAGTTTGTCAAAGAGCAATGGGGGAAGCATTGCAGTGGCTGACAGAGACCCATCCAGACAGACTTGAGGCTTGTGAAATTCTTCTAAAGATGCATCAACTGAGTAGAGTTGTGCGCAGTTCAGAACTGAATTGAGAATTGCTTTTCAATTCCAAATCAGTTACTGAATTTGAACTGAGGTATTAAATGGGATGCAGATTGCAGTTCAAATGTGAAAGGAAGTAGAATTTACATTCATTTAAAAGAAATATGACTATTTTGAACTAAATGCAACAGTCAGGTTCCAAAAGTAAAATTAGATTTTCTCCTTAGCGAAACTGATTTTTTTTAAAGATGGACCTGTTGTGAGCTCCGAGGTTGTTTATCGATGATATCTGCTGAAGCCATCGGTTCAAAATTTTAAAGTAGTCCTGTTTAACAACAGTCAACATCTGTGATGAAAAACTGCATTACCCATGATGCTGTGCAGAAAATTTGTGCCAAAAGAGCTTGCTGTGAAAGTTCTCTCCCATATCAAGTTGGTCTTCATCCGCTCTCAAAATACTTCAATATTTGTATGTGTATATATATATATGCTTATTATACAATAAACTTAATGTATTTTTTTCTACAGATATAATCAACTTTAAATCCATAGTTTTATATTTCAACATTGTTTTTAATTTGATTGTCATGCACAATGTTTAATGGGATTGTAGTTCTGTGTCTCACTAAACCTAGGAAGTAAAGAATCTTACCTTTGTCTTTTTGTGCAAATTTCAAATTATTTCTTTGCTTCAAACCAAAGTTTGTAATGTTTTGATTTGCCTCGTAGCTGGTTGGTTGGCTTGGTTTATGGCATATAATGTTTTAACAAAGGCTTTGGGGAAAAATGAGGGGCAAAAACACTTCCGGAACCAATGTTGCAGGAATGCACCCATTGAAACTCGGTACATTCTTCCAACTTTTGATTCAATGCTAATTCAAATTCAAGCTCATGAAATGAAAGCAAACCAGTTTTTAAAACTCTGAACTTTGCACAGTCCTACTTGTAAAAACTTAAAGTGGGTGAATTACTTATTTGGTTTATGCAATACATTTTTTTGTAGATTTTTTTGGTTGATCAGTATTAAACAAACAAAAAAACCCGAAATGAATTATTCCGTGGGTCAGTGTTGTAAACTGATAAAACATGAAAACTTTAAAACTATGTAAACTTCTCCAACTTGCATCCTGTAGGCTAGTTCCTGAGTTTACTGAAGCGTGAAACCATCAGAAATTGTAGAGCTGAGCTGGGCGTCCTTGAAAATAGTGGCTTCCTTTAGGCCCCGGTCAGCTAAGGTCCACTGTATGGTGCATCCGACTGCCGGTGGTCAAAGTTTCATTGTTGTTTCTTTGTCATTGCATTTTAGTAGCGCCATCATAAAACGAAAGCATCACTTGGAGCTCAAACGCTCCCGACAGATAAGGAAAAATAGCTTAATGTCTCATTTTCAGCATCTTCTGAAAGCGTACGGGTATTTGTTTCACCATTTTCCCCGAGACGTACAGAAGGCAGTGTCTTATTAATCCACGGCAATGCCTTTCCCCTTGGCCCTGAGAGTTTAAAGTTTCATTGTTGTGTTTTGCTGCACTTTCGATACGAGAGAACACGGCACCCAGGGGGTCTTTTTGTTCTATTTCCATATTAATCCATTAGTCGTAGATGAAGACCAAATCCATTTTTCACCTATGGCATTATACAGCACGGTTATGTGCGAGGAGAGGGGATGAGCCATTCGAGAGGTGACACGTGAGCGAGATGCGCAAACTTCAAAAGCGACCTTAAGTTAGCATTTGCCCTCAATTGAAGTTTCAAAGAGAGGAGGGGAGTAGATGAGAAGAGAGGAGGAGACCACGTGTGCCATATGCAAATGGCAGAGATTAGCATGTTTATTTCGATCTTTTCTGACCGTTGGGGGGGAAAAAAGTTTTTAAATAGATGGCTTTCTACTCACGAGCACACATGTAGCCGCGAAATTGTGCCAGAGATTACCGTGGTTCGCCGAAGCCAATAGAAAACACATTAGCTTGAGCTGATCTAGAAATTATGTGCAATTGATCTCGAGG